CCCCCCCCCCAACAAAAGGCGACATTTCGATCCGACCAGCTCCCCGCCGCGATGTCCTTCCTGGCGCGGATCCTCCACCGGCGCCGTGAGAGCGGCACGGTCAAGGGCAGCGCAAGCTTTTGGCTGTTGGTGCTTCTGTGTGCGTGTTGGGCTCTGTACCCACACCCCGGAGACCCTCCGCACTGCTCGCTTGCCATTTTTTTTTGCTCACATCCGTCCTTCCCCCTTGCCCACTTCAAGACACCATTCAGGGCGTTCCTCTCGGCATCGTTCTCCAGTCCATCCCCTTCCTGCTGCTGGAGTCTTTCAAGGCCACCGACCCGAAGGCCGGCGCGGCGACGGACTTTGCCGCACTCAGCATTTACGCCGCCGCATCGTATCCCTACTCTCTCAAACTTTTCTGGAGCCCGATCGTGGACTCGGTCTTTTCCAAGGGTACGCCCGGGCAGATGCGCCACTCCACAAGACCGCCTGGCATACTGACCCATGCGCCCGTCCCACCCCATGCCACTCCATCGGCTGTCCATCGGCTGTCCATCGGCTGTCCAGCGGTCGGCCGGCGGAAGTCCTGGATTCTGCCGGCCCAGGCGTGCGTGGCGATCTTCCTGTTCGTCCTCTCTCGATACATTGCCCGGTGGATGGGATCGGTGGCCTCGTTCCAGGCTGACGCTGCCCCTCCCGGAGGGGTGGCCATTGTCCCACTTACCCTGGTGGCAGTGGTCATCGTCACGGCAGCCGCCACGCAGGACGTTGCGGTTGACGGCTGGGCGCTCAGCCTACTGAGCACCCGGCAGCCGACGCCCGATGCCCCCCCGACGCCCCGGGCGGAGGTCGATCCTCACACGATCGGGGATTGTGACCTGGCCCCAGCCAGCCCGGCCCTCAGTGCTGGGTGCACCACCAAACGCCGAAGCGCGGGCTTGCCTGCCTCGACGAGCCCCAGCGAGGCTCCACCCCCGGCCCCGGCTTCCAGGCCGGAAGCGCCGCCCGAGCACCTGTGCACCGAAAAGCCCGAGGTCGCGGAGAACCCCACCCTTGCCTATGCAGCGCTCGCCCAAACCATCGGTCTTCAAACCGGCTCCTTCGCTGGGTACACCATCTTCTTCGCCCTCAGGAGCGCCAGCTTTTCGTATGTCTCCCATTGATTGGCGCCTTTCCTCGCCCCAGCTCCCCTGGTTCCTCTTCCTCTTTCCTTCTCTCTCCCTCTCCCTCTCTCTCTATCTCTCTCTCTTCCTGGTGCACGCGCGCACACGTGTGTTAACCACATCCATACCTCTCTCTCTCTCTCTCTCTCTTTCACCGCACAGGGACACCTACGTCCGGCCTCTCCTTCAATGGTTGCCTGGCGGCTCTTCATCTCCAGTCTCGCCGGTCACACAGGGCATCACCGACCTCGAGGGGTACCTCGGGTTCTGGGCAGTCGCCTGCCTCATCATGACTCTGGTCGTGGCCATTTGGCCAGAGGGGGGTGTACGCCTATGCCTTCCTCCTTTCTGCAGCATCTCCCCCTCCCCCTCCTCCTGCGCCCTCCTACCCCCTCCTACTCCCCCTTCCCGCGTCTGACCTTTGCCTGTTGGCCTGCTCCAGCGTGACGCGGATGATCTCCCCCAGGGCGGGGTGCTCTTCACCTATCGGCAGATCTGGAACATCACCAAGTCCCCCAGTACGACTGACATCAAGCACGCGCGCACGCGCCCTGGCTGGGCTTTCTCTCTCTGTCGCCCTCCCTCTCCCCCTCGACTGACCGGTTGCCCTGCCGCTGCTTTTGCTCTCTTCTGTTGGGCGATGCCATGCTCTCAGACATGCGTCACCTGCTCCTGTTCCTGCTGCTGGCGCGCTTTGCACACGCGCCCGAGGGGACCATGTCTGCGCGTCTCGTGTCACGCGGGGACATCGCGACCACCCGCTTCGCCACCGCGGCGGTTGTCCACTTTCCGGCCCAGCTGCTGGCGAGTTGGTGGGCTGCGCGGTGGTGCTCGCAATCCGCCTCTGGGCCGGACAGCGCCTCGAATGCCAAGCGCAACCCCCTAGACCTCGTTCGTGAAGCATGGCATCCGATTGTTGCCCCGCCTCCAGCGGCGCCGATTCTAACTCCCTTCCATTCGCACACACACACACACACACACACACACACACACACACACACACACACGCGTGCGCGCACGCAGTACATGCGAGCATACTCGGCCAAGTTGGTTCTCATCCCAATCGGCCTGTACTTGATCTATTCGCCAGCCATCGGGGCCTACTCCATGGGCCCTCCCAGTCAATCCGGGGCATTTCTCCTGAATGCCCTTCTCCATTTGCACAGCCTCCTGGGCTCGGTGGCCACCTCCGTTCAGTTTAGCGCCCAAGCCATCTATTTTGGTCGCATCGCCGACCCCGCGATCGGGGGGACTTTCTTGACCGTGCGTGTCTGTTTGTGTCTTTTTTCCTTCCCTCTCTCTCCCTCACATGGCCACGCATGTGCAAACATACAATATGGCTAACTCCCTTCCTCCTCGCATACACACACACACACACACACACACACACACACCCTTTCCCCTTTCCGCTGGTTTCCCTGCTGTTCACGATGAAAAATGCCGACCAATCATAGCTTCTCAACACTTTCTCCAACCTCGGCGGCACCATCCCCAACACCCTTTTCACCAGTCTTGTCGCTCTGCTCCAGCGACTCACCGGGACTCGGCAATATGCGGCTGCCGCGGCAGCCATGGCGACTTGGCTTCCACTCGCCTCCTCGACCGCCAATGGGAGCCCTGTCTTCCAGACTGGCACCTGGAGCTGGGGCCGCATCTTGCAGTTCCGGCAGATGTTTGGTCTGCAGCCAGATGCCTTCCTGGCCGCGGCTCTCGGCGTTTGGCTGCTGGGTGTTTTCGCCATCCGTCCTTGGGCCAAGCGGGTAGCCATTGTACGTGATCGCCCTATCCTCCCCGTCCCTTCTCTCTCGCCCCCCCCCCTCTTTCTCTTTCTCTCTCTCTCTCTCTCTCTCTCTCTTTCTCTCTCTCTCTCTCTTTCTCTCTCTCTCTCTCTCTCTCTTCCTCTCGGTCTCAGTCTCTCTGCTCTCCTGCCGTTTGGTATTAACTAATCGACACCCTTGCCCGCTTACCTCGCCCATTTGTTTCTTTGGTCGTTCTCTCCCTCTCCCTGCCTCTCTCTTTCTCTTCCTGTCCCCCCTTCTTCCCACATGGGGCTTCGTAAATAGCACCTCGCCAAGGCAAAGGCCTGAACAGACACATGTGTCCGCGCGCACACACCCACACACAGGGCACCTGTGTCTGTTCCTTGTACAAAAGTAATAAATAGAAAACACGTCCTGACGCAAAGTTGATAATGCATTTCTAATGTACATGGAGAGAGCCGGGGGGAAAGAAAAAAAAATAGAGCGCCCGGATACACACCGGCCGCCGAGCTAATACACGGGGAAAGCGGAAAGAAAGGAGGAAGGGAGAGGGAAAGAGAGGGAGGTTGGACAGGGGGGAGGGGGGGGGGGGGCGCCTTCTTCCGACTGGGGGAGTCACGCACGATGATGTTCCGCCCCCTCGAAGGCGGCTGTGTCCAGGTGCTCAGGACATCGACTCGAGGGAGGCATGCGAGCGTGGGTGACTTTCTTTTTTTTTTTTTTTTTTGCCACACACCCGCGCCAGCACCTTCTTACTTCTGCTGGGCGGCCTGCTGCTCGGCATAAAACTTGTCCAGGGCATCCATCTTCAATTCGCCGACGGCCACACGCAGGTGAACCAGCCACTTCTTGCGGTCGGCCGCCGAGGCAGCGTAGATGAAGCGGCTGGCGTTGTCGATCTCCGGGCTGAGAAGGTCGGACTCGCTCATGTCGTGGCGCGAGGAGCCGGCATTCTGGGCCGCCTCGGCCGAGGAATAGACCAGCTCGATGCCATTGGGCAGGCGCCCGTCAGCCGGGGCCTGCTGCACCTTGACGCAGTCCACCAGGCTGACCGAGGCGACGACACGGGCCATGGCCCCGCCAGCGGCCAGGGGGAACTCGGCCGCCGGGCGCGAGTCATCATCACTCAGGTCCGGCCGGCCGCCGGTGTGCAGCATGAGGCTGGTGTTGATGGAGGCGGCCTCCTTGGCCGAGGGGGTGGAGTCATCGTCGCCGGCCGCCAGGGCGTCCAGGGTCTCGTTGATGGACTTCGACCGGGCCAGCTCCGAGAAGCTGGAGCAGGTGAAGTACATAATCCGCCGGTCGCGAAGGACCGCACGGGTGAGGTCCCAGCGCTGTGTGGAAGTGAAAGGGAAGATGGAGGCGAAAGCGGGCGAGGGGGGGGGGGG